CCTTGGGACAAGGATTAACACAGAACATTTCATTTTCAGCTTTAATTTACGAATTAGACAGAAATTGTTATGAATTGAGTAGATGAATGCTCTGAGTAGGCCTTACTGGAATGTTTATTTGGTATAGGAAAAAATATAATAACATAAATGGATAGCAGACACAAGAAAAATGCAAACCCAGTTCGACATAAAACACAGAATCCATCATTTTTTTCCAGTTCATCTTACTAGAATATTATTGAGTCCACCTGGATACAAAGAGAACACAGCTGCAACATGAAAAAACCGTTTTTCCCCAGTTTTTTTTTCCTAAATAAAAACAAAAAATATAATCATATTAGAATACTGCAGGTGCAACTTGTTAATACAGTGGATAGAGTCTTGAAAGGAATAGTAGATTTGTTCTATGAATTAAGCCATTATTTGGACACTGTTAAACATGACACCCAATGTCTCAGTTTAATGGTATTTCATTTCCCCGGCTTTGAGACTCACATGAGTAACTATGCTTGGTACAAAAGGCCTGACATTAATTATTGAAGCCAATTGAACATTATTCAAAGGGGACAGGAAAAGCGACAGTCGATAGAATCATACCCAAATGATTGTTAGTTGTGTTATTCCTGATGAGAGTTAAAATGTACATATTCACTGCAGATTATTTAAATGTACTGTATGTTGTACATGGCAACAGTATCTCCAAAATGTTAGAGATTTAATACTTACAAAAAAAAGTTTTATGGATATATGTATTGTATCAACTGTAGTATAAGAACCTGACGTTATCTAGAAAAATAGAACTGGTGGGAGCCGTCACATTGAGCGATCTTATAGTAAACATATACATGCCCTTTAATAAAGTGTTTTCTGGTTGTTTATTTCATGACTTCAATATTCACAGAAATGTAGACAGAATATGTGGCTTTCTTAAGACTAAATAATATATTTGTTCCAAGGTTACTTTGTGGCACTAATGACTTAACAATGGCACTCAATCTACCGTAGACAACAGTACCCAAAATGCCAACAAAAACAACACAACTTAATATAGGATATTACGCAACAGTCAACTATTTTGTTAAAGAAGTTGCATTGTACAATAACTTGTCCTTATATGCTTAATAAATAATTAAGGATCTACAAGATTGGCCAAGATATTGCCAATATTGATAAGACTATTGTTAAGGATTTAAGAGACTGTCCAAGTTATCTAGAAGATTGATAAGACTATTGTTGAGGAACCTGATCTTCAACAATTCTTTGTATGTTTATTTAGCAACACCAAACTGAAGTTCCACAGAATAAATAAGAGTTTACATTGTCCGGATTCTCACGGCGTAGCTAGTTTTTCCTGTAGCTTTGCTACAATACTCAGTGTCAAGCTGGGACCTACTACGTTATAACTTTACAGGACCAGAGATTATCTTCCATATGATGTATTTCCATATTTGTGCACTTGTGGAGTTTATTCATCAAAAGGTGATAATATCAAACATAAGGTAATATCGCTTGCTGTTATTTTACTGAACACGATTTATCATTGCCTAAAAATATTCGTTTAATGATGAATCATCCCCAGACATCAGAAATTAAAATCACCATTTCGTCAGCACAAGCCTGATTTTTATTTATTTTTTTACAATCTTTAAGACAGTGTTTATTTCTGAAAATACAATAAAAGAGATAACTTTTATAATATAGAAAAGCAAATGCACACATCCCATCAGCTTTATTAAAACACATTTACTGTGACACAAAACACACTAACCAGCGCCAATACCTGATCTAAAGATAAAGCCTCTCAGATTTTAATCTCTATAACTATAGAAAAGGGTGTCAAATTTACTGTTTTTTTATTTTAATATTTTATATCCAGTACGCCTTTGCTGTTAAAAATTTTTTTTAGGTTTCTTTAAATAAAATGAAATGTTTTTTTTTTTTTAAATGTACCAAATCCTTATAAATAAATTCAATATGAAGCTTGTTTGTTCATACAAATGGTCAGACGCCTGTGTTTTAGGGCCAATGCCATATATGCGTTGTACAGTGTATATATTTCCTAATATTTGAGGGTATACACAGTGAAAACCCTCACGAACCATTCTTTTAGGTGCCAATAAAGGACAAATTCTTCATATTCCAACACTCTTTTTGGAGATAAATATTTTACATATCCACATTTCTACACTGTCCCACTGGATTTTGGGCAGTTAGTTTGTAAAGAAACCAAAAGTGTGTAAGCGCTTTGGAATATGATCCAGACAAATAAGCAGCACTTGAGACAGTTATACACAGAAATGTATATAAAATAAATAGTTACCAAAAACAAGCGCGCTAAATGGTCTGTAAATAGAGAGAAATACAAATAATAGTGCAGACTATCTGAATAAGTGCCAACACATAATAAGGGTATGAGGGAGAGAACTCACATGTACCAGAGCCTAATCACCCCTGGCTCTGGGTATTCAAAGCTCCCCTGGAGAGGGAATGTTCCCACGTAAAGATGACTCCAATCAATGTATCCACAGAAAGCTTGATATAACTGCTTCGTGTTCCTTTCAGATCTGCTCATGCCCAGATTGTGGAACTGTATATCACGTTAGAACCTCCAACCTTGAGCTTTTTTCTAGTTCTGTATTGTTACATTACACATCTACAGAACGATTGGTATGATTTATGGACTGCAGCAGAATTCACTTATAATTCTCACATGCACAGTTCACCTCATAGTTCTTCTTTCCATGTTAGTTATGGTTATCATCCAGTAATGCTTCCTGATCAACACATTACATGGCCAATGCCTGAAGTTAAGACTATGCAGTCAACCAATCAGTGATTTAAAGAACCTTATATCATCAGCTATGTCCATGTACGAAAAGGGCGAGATACATTTTTATTATATACTGTAATAATAAAAAAAAATTAAATTTCTTAAACTGTTGATTTTTCCCACATTTAGCTTTCGCGTTTGAATTTAGCCAGATTAGCATATGATTAATATCGGGACTATTACTAAATTTGTTGGCATTAATTTGATCAAACTAGAAGGGTGAAAGGCCATTCAGACCTAGCTCCTAATAAAACCTGTGGTTTAAGCACTAAAGTTGGTGTATTAACCAGCTGAGCTATCTCATTAGTGATCAAAACATAAGAGCATTCTTACACCCAACTAGCAATTGACGGGTCAAAAATTCTTGGCAATTGTGAATTATCCTGATGATAATTCGCTATATTAAAAGTAACATTTTATTTTTAGAAATACCTAGCCTAATTGGTTGATATTTGTCACTCCACCAGCAATACAAGTATTCTTATTTGCTCTCTCTTGGCAGTTCTCTTTTTTGTCATTTATTCCATAGCGACTAGTCGCACTAGGGGCTACCCCCTGCTTCAGGAGGTTAATAATTACATTACCTTTCTTTACTCTTTTATTGTCTTTACAAAAAAAGGGTCTAAATGCCCCCCACAAGTTTATACCTATCATCAGGATACAAACAAATTCATCAATGTCGACATTTCTCACTGGCGTAGCAGATCACACGGTCGGCCTAAATTATATCAATAATGTATTTTCATTAGAACCGTTGGTAAATAATAAACCAGATAATATCAATAAAAAAATGTTTTCAATCCAACAATTATATAAACAAATTAAAGGCTATTAGGAAATCACAAGCCTATGCCACTATGTTGATCAGAAATTAGTACCTAGAGGTCTGAGACCCGAAATTTCAACACCAGACAAAGTAAATACTGAGGATAGGCTTAAGGAGTGGAACAATCTATTAATTGATTGCTCTTTTAAACTAATACAGTTTCTATTTAAAATTAGAAGAGGAACATTTTGAAAAAGTGAATTACGATCTAAAGGATGAAATAAATAAAGCTAACGAATTCCAATCAAACACAGATTATACTTTAATGGAATCTAAACTACAAAAAACATTGACAATTTTACATTACATATCAAGGAAAAAAACATCAAACATTCTTGAGAGACCACAGGGACTTTAATGAGGGACATATATTTCATCAAACCAATAGAATCAATAGACGCAGAAATAGTAGAAATAGCGCTACATCAGGCAACTCAGAATGGACAGACTCGGAATCGAGTTCATCCAGGGGCACAAATCGACCCAGCTCCATTACCAGAGAAAAGTTACCAATAAAAAAAAAGTATCTTAAAGGAACAAAACAAAACAGTCTCCTTCCTAGACAATCTCCCCCTTCATCAGTCTCTACATCCTCCTTTGCTTTGGCCTCTTTTTTAGATCAGGATTGGCCCCCACCACAGAGGGCACAACTAAGAGACCGCAGGACATGGGGTTACAAATTACTCCTGAAGATATTTCACACCTCCAATCACTTCCACAGTTATTAGAAGAACAAGATAGAAATCTGCCCCTCACACACTTCAGACCCCTTAGCTGGTTCACCCCTAGTATTAAAGAAGACATAAATGTTGATCTTTTTGTCCAAGTGACAGTTGATATGGTAAATGCTTTACCAACTCCTTCCAAAGAACAGAACAATTTAACTACCAGTGAACTAAGATCTCTACAAGAACTCAGAACAAATAAAGACCTTATCATTAAACCATCGGACAAGGGAGGCAACATAGTATTATTGAGTAGAGAGAAATATGTGAAAATGTGTATGTCCCATCTTCACGACATCTTGAGCTATAAGAAATTAGAGGGAGACCCCACCCCAGATTGTTTGCAGGCATTAAAAATGTTACTAAGCACAGCAGTCAAAGATGGCACCATCACCACCGATGAACATAGATTCATCTTGCCAAAATGTTCCCCACTATCGCCATCTTCTACTGCCTACCTAAGGTTCACAAAAACCTAACAAATCAGCCGTGTAGACCTATCTTCTCTGGCAATCAATCCCTCACAGAGAATGCCAGTAAATTTCTCAAAAACGTATTACATCCTTTCGTCACCAATCTGGCTTCCTTCTTATAGGATACAAAACAAACCTTGGAGAATTTGGTAGTACCCCCTTACACTCTACTCACAAGTCTGGACCTAGTATCTCTGTACAATAACATCACACACAACATAGGGATAAAGGCCAACTCCTACATTCTTGATAAATTATCTAAATACTCACCTCCCCATAAGAAATGTCTACTAGAACTATACTAGAACTATTATCATTTGTTTTGACACACAACTACTTTGTATTTATTGGCACCTACTATTTACAGCTGAGGGGCACGGCCATGGGTACGACTTGCGCCCCCAGCTATGTCAATCACTATCTGGGCTGATGGGAGGAGACTATCCATAAACAAACCATCGAGGAACGATATAGCCAATATATACTCAAATGGCATTGTTACATTGATGACATGCTGTTATTCTGGACAGGATCAGTCACAATGTTTGATGAATTGGTATGTGTCCTAAATCAGAACCATATAGGATTCCAACTTACATCTTTTATTGACGAGAATAAATTGGAATTCCTCGATTTGAGAATTACATTGTCCTTGGATAGAAACGTAGAAACAGAGTTATTTAGGAAACCTACTGCCACTTACAATCTTCTACACTGGCCACCATCCCATCAAACTAAAAGCTGGTATACCTCATGGTCAGTACCTGAGAGCATGTAGGAATTGCTCCAATGATAACACATTTCATCAACAGACAAAGGATATCAGAACCAGATTTAAAGCACAGGAGTACCCAAACAAAATTCTAAAAAGGGCATTTCTATGGAAAGATTCACTTGCCTTCGCTCTTCACAACCTAAATCAACCAAACAAGTCATTAGATGCATCGGCACGTTTGATCAATATTAGGAACCAAGACAAATATTTACAGATAATTGGCCCATTGTCACGGTTCTCACAGTGACATCCAGACAGCCAGATTATGTTTATCCTCGCCTTGTCTCCATGGCGGGACTTTACCTGTGGCTGCTCCTGTCTATCTAGCTCACCTGTAGCAGATCATTTATTAGCTGGGTATATAAGTACTGCCTCACCCTGGACACTTTGTCAGTTCATTGACTCTAGTTCCTGTATTTGTATTCTTGATCCAGTGTTATCCAGTTAAAAGAGAGTCCAGGTGGATTTACGAGTGCCAGACCATGTCACAGAAAGGACTTAATGAAGAATTCAATTTCACCCCATTTATCCACTAACCATTATGTATGTCTTTAGTATCAGCAATAGCAATTTCAATTACTTGCCTTTTAAATTGTAATTTACAATTCCAACACTTTAATAGCCCCAAATCCAGGTAGTTTATTTCACTAAACCCCTTATGGCCATTATCTATATATTATTCTGCAGTCCTAGCTCATCTAATCTATTATTCATATGCCCTTCCTTTCGGCAGATGGATCTTTATTTATTTATTTTCATATAACTTGGGCAATTGTGGTATTCTTATTTTTTTTTTTTTTTACCTTTTTATTGCTTGATTCCTCGAACATCCGCCTACTTTCACTGCTTTATAAATCAACATCTAATCTTATAACATCAAGATAACATTCATGGACTTTTATCTAAGTATTCATTTGCGACTAAATACACCCCTTGTCACAATGCTAATTAGGAGAATTATTTCTGAGCATTAACTTCTATATAGTTCCATATTTTCATATACAGACATTATAGCTACACTCAGGATAATTGTTTTGTAAATATGTACATTATTATTTCTGTTTGATGTGTTGCCTTATTTCACCTCTTAATCGCTATATTAAAAGTTACGTTTTAGTTTTAGAAATATCTAGCCTTATTGGTTGATATTTGCCACTGCACTAGCGATACAAGTATTATTTCTCGCTCTCTCCTGGCAGTTCTCTCTTTATCCTGAGGATAACTTTAGGAGTTAAACGTGATTGTATATTAAACAAGCTTATACCTCCTCTACTAGTGACATTTATTACAAAGACCAAAGAAGCCACACACACAGAGAATGAAAAACCTTAATGCTACCTGCTGATAGTTTGATGCTCTTTGAAGAAATGACCATCCATTCTTTGCGTAGACATAATGACATATTAATCTTGAGTTTCATGAGAAGGCTTCACACGCAGTGACAATTTAAAGATAAATAGAACTTCATGAATAGGAACCACTTTGGGATTTTTTTTAACTGGTCTCTCAAGAACATTTAGTCTTTGTACAAGGGTCAGTTTATATTTAAAGAGAATTCATCCTGTATTAGGTCCGTCATACAAAGTATTCCACTATTTGGTCTTATCAAGACAATTCTTCTGTGCGCGAGTCTGTGAAAATTAAGAACTGAACATCCAGTTATCCAGTCATTATGTTTTATTAAAAGGACACTCCACACTCTTTAGCTTGCTGTAGTGCTTTCCATGTCAGAAGCCTGTCATATTCGTGGCATTTCATAACAGTGCTGATTTTATAGGAATTGGTACTTTTATAATTGGGGACAGAAACACCTCCCTTGCAGTCTGACAGCCATGGAGGATTCCCTCTACTTCTGTTAGCTCAACAGAGTGAACGAAAATGGCAGGTGTCTTTCTCAAACTCGTTCTCAGCTGTTTTTTTCAGACAATGGAGTGTTTCTTTAAGATATAACTAACCAACTTCACTTTAAAGGGAAACTACAATTAATATTTATACATGATATATTTATACAGTTAATCACACTACAAGTCCTTTTGTCTTACTAGTACAATTCAACTGAGATCAATTCAGCTCAACTGTATTGCTATTTGGTTCTAATTGAATACAGTGAATTAGACTTTTACAAGGTGAGAACATTTGGCTCGGCTGAACCATTTTTCAAGAAAACAGAAAACTCATTGGGATGCCTGTATTTTGGCCAAATGTTAGTTATTGTTACGCTACTTGGGTAATTTGGATTGGAACTCAACTGCAGCTTGTAAACTCCCTAATTACAATAGTGAAGAAACGGAGAATCTTTAAAGTATCAATACTGTAGCTTTAGGAAAAGAGAGTTGCTGGTAACTTGATTCAAACGAAGTTTTAATAAGTGTTAAACTTAAATGAATTGCATTTAGGCAATAATCCAAAAAGAAGAAGTGCAAGTAATCAACAACACAAAGTTCATTAATAAGTATTTCCTCAGAGATGCATTAAACATTCTTTAGGTTAATGAGAATAATCTTCAATAGTAACTTTAAGCAAGTAGCTGAGAATATTTGCAAAGCAGGAACAGTTCATAGTTAATAAGCATGATGGGAGTTGTCCTCCATTTAATTAGTAGCTTGAAGCAGTGAAGATTTAGTAAGCAAGCATTAGTTCATTATTAAATGATATTGTAGACAAGTAGCTGAAAGATATACTTAAGGTTAATGTGAGTTAATGTGAGTAGTCCTCCAATAGTCCACTTGTAAAGTAAGGTATGGTCCACTTGTAAAGTAAGTGAGTTTCTATTCTCCAGTAATCCTCTATAGCATGAAGTATACTTTTCTTAGCCCAGGACGCTACGACGACATCAGAGCTTGTAGAGCCGGCGTGTCCCAGGACCGGCGTGCATACTCCGAAGTAGGACCCACATTGCCAGAGCCTGTGGAGAGGTAAGTCTGGTGGAAGTAGCTCCCAGTATCACCAAGCCCCCTCTCTCTGGCGTGGTCTCCCTAAATACCGTCAGAGCTGCATCAGAGGGGGGCGGGGTCCGGCTCCGCACAGCGGAGTGACAAACCCAGAAGTGTTACCGCATGACAGGACCCCCCACCTAAGGAGCACTCTCAGGGTGCTATTACCTCGGTTTTTGAGGGTATCTTCTGTGAAAGGCAGAGGAATTCTCCCAAGTGTTATCTTCTTCTCCATAACCCTTTCATCTAATAAGGTATTGTAAGTTACCTCTATGAAGTCTGGAGTCAAGAATTCTCTCTATCTCATATTCCAATTCACCTTGAACTTCAATGGGGTCAGGCTTTGACAATTGTTCCCTATGGAAGGGATCTGGGAGAAAAGACATGAAAAACAGGATGAAGTTTAAGTGAAAGAGGAAGTTTCAACTTCACAGCATTTTCATTAATAATGGATTCAATTTGAAAAGGTCCAAGGAAAAGAGAACCAAGTTTCTTAGAAGGACGGTTAGTAAATATTTTTTGAAGATAGCCAAACAGTGTCACCAATTTTATATTTAGGAGGCGGTCTCCTTCTAATGTCATAATTCCGTTTATGTAAGATCATGGAACTTTCAAGGTTTTTCTTTAATTGATTAAACAATGAGGACATTTCCATGTTTTGAATAGAAACCATTCGATTCGAAGTTGGCTTGGGATCATCAGGAAACAATGAGGGATGGAATCCATAATTTGAAAAGAATGGAGTAATTTTGCTGCTTGAATGTATGGAATTATTATAGGCAAATTCAGCCATGGGTAACCAATTACTCCAATCATCATTTGTTTGCGGATGGTATGCTGAAGAAAGTTTACTTTGGATTTGAAGTGAGGAACACATTTCCTTCCAAAAACGTGAAGTAAATTGAGAACCTCTGTCTGAGATTATTTTTTCAGGGAATCCATATAAATTGATTATTTGTCAATAAAATGTTTGGAAAGTTCAGAGGATGAGGGTAACTTTTCCAAAGGAATGAAATGTGACATTGTTGTGAAACGGTCTACTACAACAAGGATGGTGGTGTATTTCTGAGAAGGAGGGAGTTCCACCATAAAATCCATGGAAATAGATTGCCAAGGTCTCCCAGGTACTGGTAATCCTGTCAATAATCCATAAGGAAGGTTCCGCTTTGGACCTTTGACAAACTGGACAAGATTTTACATAAGTTTCAATAGTTTTGTCTTGACGAGGCCACCAATATTGTCTAGTAGAGAGTTCAATTGTCTTTTTTATCCCGGGATGTCCAGCAAGGGGAGGATCATGAATTAATTTTAAAAGGTTAAGTCGGAGTTTTGGAGGAATATAAATTCTATTTTTGAAATAAAAGATTCCCTCTTTTTTGAACAATTTAGGAGTAGAAGGTAGTTCAAGTTCTTTGAGAGATAATTGTTTCAGTTCATCCAATATAGTAGTTGTAAGTCCAATTATTTTATTGTTTGTCAATATTGAGAAGACTCTCTTCTGAAGAAGGATTAAATGGAATTTTGGAAAAAGTATCAGCTTTTTTGTTACGAGATACAGCAAACTGATGAGAGGAAGAAGAGGGTAGTGTTTTAGAATTGAGGTATTGATTTTAGGCTTACCTCCCTTAGAGCGTTTTAGAAGAGGACATTCTTGTAAGAGATGTTCTTTAGAGAC